TTTTAAAAAAAAAAAAAAAAAAAAAAAAAAAACTAAATACACAAATAATAAATAAACTCAAATTACTTCGATTTATTTACATCCATTTCACATGAACGAGTATTTTTACAAGAGGTTTGCTGCTGACGAATGTTTGCATACATTCTAAACTCGAAATGTATGAATCACTCATTACTGATATGATTTAATCAATCCGTGCTTTATACTTTCAATCTATGTATTTAAATAAAGGCATTTTTTTTAACCCATCACCGGGGGTCGAGAGGTATACTCATTTGGTCAAAACGTTTGTAACGCCCAGAAGACAGCGTCAGCGACACCATAAAATATATATATATATATATATATATATATTTTAAATATTTTTTATATATATATATATATTGTTGAACAGAATCGAATTTTAAATCGATTGAAGCATGATCGTCTGTCCGATTATTGCAAACATTATCCTAGATGGAAAAAATGAAGCTATCAATCTAAAATCTTGCAAAAATAGTGTCAGTTCTTGTACGCAGGCTGGTATTGAAAATGGGCCAAATCGATTGAAGGACACGTTCACAGCACCGCGCAAACTGCGAAAAACTCTGGAAAAACAATAGGAATGAAACATTGTTTTTTTTGCCCATTACTCATATACTATTGCAAATAAATGTAAAAAAATTTGCATAAATATTCTATGGGCGATGGAGTAACAACTTTATAAAATTGGAAAAAATTGACTACACCTACCCTATACTATTATAGTGTATCAAAACTCAGTTGTTTTTTCAGTACCTATACAAAGCGCAGAGACAAGCTTCAAAAATCCCACAAAGTATAGAAATTCTTGGCCAATTTCAAATTTGGAATACGCCTAAACATGTCCACCTGTTCGTCTGTCTATCCGTCCGGCTGCTTGCGCAACTTTCTAGCATTCCCCCGTTAACGAAAATTAAGATATCGCCTATAAAGTTAGAAAAAAAAAAAAAAAAAAATTGGAATTGACAATAAACTTTTCAAAGGACACGCCTGCAACGCCCATATGCCTATAAGACAAAAACTTTTATTTTAAAAATAGAAAAAATCAACTGCGCCCACTCCATATTATAGAGCCTTAGGATTTTTTTCCTTTTACATCTACTTCTGCCTTCTTTAGGGTAACGGTGATGAGTATAAAAAGATTCGGTCCCGACCGAATTTAAGTTTCTTATTTGCTAAATGTTAATATTAATATATACTCAGCCTAATAGAGTAATACAGAGAACGTATGCTTGATAGTGTTACTCCTAAGTTGTAAACGGTTAATGACTTCTACATTGGCTGCAATGTGAAGGGGAATAGGGCGGAAAATCAATCTCTTGACGGAATGAGAATTTCGCATTATCTCTGAAAGAAGGAGGAGGAGGAAAACAAATGAAATGTATCACTAGTAAAGGAAAATAAGTCGTAAAAGTAAATTTATTTTGAATGCATGTAAAGGAATTCGTACGTACTCGTCTCTTAGTGCCTTTGGGCAACCCTGATATTACATGTGACTCATCACACAGCGCCATTTCTACTTATCAAAAGTAGCCCATTAGGCACATTATATGACAGCCATAACTACATCCCTTATACCAAGGAAGGTAAGGTTAAGATCGTTTCGACTCTGAGGCCTCTAAACCTTCACTTTACCAGATAAAATTATTTTACATAATATTTAAATGCATCAGTTAGCCTGAGGGAAGCTTCAGAGGGAATCAGCTATAAGATGGTTTCGATTGGTCTTTCGTTTTAATACTTAAGCAAATGTTTCTTTTCAATCATAATTGAAACGCTGGTATTCCGCGCTCGAGAGATATCATAGGCAAATACCCTTGACCAATGAATTGCACAAAATGGCGAAATATCCCTTTGAGATTCGTTGGCTAAGGGAAATTTGTGAGATGCCTTTGCTGCTTAATACTAATTAACGATATTTGTGCTATGCTAAGACTTCTCCTGGACTTAATGTGAAAAACACGACGATTACACAAACATTGATGGGCTGATTTTTTAATTAAACTTCTAAAAAGAAGAAGAAGAATTTAAAAGAGTCTAAGTAAATCATTGAGCCATAAAATCATGAAAGGGTTGTTTATTTAGCTTCTTCACTTTTTCATTTGCTCAACGCTTTCTTGATTTTTTTTTCTTTTTTAATTGTGTGTATCCGTGTATTTGTAAGCATCTAACTATACACCTGACGTAGTTGCTTATGCTTTTGCCTTTCACTAGCTTGTGTTAAATAATTTAATTGACATTCTTTTAAGCGCGCGATCTTTCTTTTTTTTTTTTTTTTTTGGTTTTTGTATTCTTTTCTTTTTATTTTGTCTTTTTTCTTTATTTTTTTCATATGAATAATCATAAAAATTAAAGAATCAAAGAATGAGGCATTTAAGTGAAACTAATCGATTACTTTTAAGCTAAGAGATATATGTAAGTATGTCGGCCGGCATAAATGAAGTATACATATCCATACCTTTCTATATGCATTCATATGAATGGTCAAAGAATTGTTGAAAAAGCAAATCGTAAAACGATTTAAAATGAAAATCTTTGAAAATTTGGGTCACTTGCAGCCAGCCTTTCTATCGTTTAAATTTGAGTTTTCTTTCTTTTCTTTTGCTTTTTTTTTCTATTTTTTTTTTTTTTTTAATGAATGAATCTGAAAATTGTATGTGATTTCATTTCGAATATAGGGTATAAAAAATGGCTGAAGTGAAGGTGAGATTGTTAAGGAAAAAATTTTCTGATTTTCGTTAATTATAAATAAAATTTAAATGACAAATGTCGGCGAATTCTTTAAAGTTCTTTCAATTCATTCCTGCTTCTATTCACGCTACATTTAGTTACTTTATAATCATATAATGTGCGTCCGTCTGTTCATCTTTCTGCACTTGATTTTCGCAAAGTCGTAGATCTAATTGGTCCGAGCCGTTCGGACAAATCCACAATATACTATTGCCGATCGGTTATCATTCATTATCTTTGAGGTAAATCCATAAAAAACAAGATCACAGTTTACGCATGTATGAAGCCTTCGGGCCTTGAAGCCTTCAAATGCACTTATTTTCCTTAGATCATGCTCGCACGCGCTGGTACTCTCCAATTTTGATTTATTATTATTATTATTTTTTTTTTAAACTTTTATACATATATTTATATTTATTTTTTTTTTTTACTATTCTGATGTATTTGCCAATTGTTTAATTTTCATTATCGCAGATACTTTTAATTACAACGCTGCACGCCATCAATGCATTGGGTACGACTACCTTGGGTTCCAAATGTCAACACGATATGGATTGTACGGATTTTATTAAAGGCAGCACTTGCTCAGCACAGGGTTACTGCGAATGTGCACCCTATTTTGTTCAATACAATAACACTCAATGCCTATCATGTACGTACTGAAATGAAAAATGAAAATTTTCTTTTAATTTCTGATTGTTGTTATTTGCCTGCCTTTCTTTCATTCTTGCTAAAATCTTTCATTTATTTATTTTTTTATTTTTTTTTGCATATTTTACAGCTCAGCTTTTAGGCGGTGATTGCACCCTAAATGAACAATGCTTCATGAAAGTCGCTAATAGCAGCTGCTTAGATGGTGCTTGCCGATGCGTTGAAGGCTTTTTACAATTTCGTAAACATACTTGCTTAGGACGTAAGTATTTGATATAAAATTCATTAATGAATGACTGTATTATCCTATGACAATATTTAATAGATCGATTTTTGTAATTTGTCATAACATTACGATAAGCATTTATTTATTTATTTATTTTGTTTTGATATTGATGTCGATAATGTTGATTATCTCCATTAGAAAGCAAATCCGGTATACATTCTATTTTTATGCTTATCACCGTAGGATGAGCGGTATATTCATCTTGTCAAAACATTTGCAACGCCCATAAGGAAGCGTCAGAGATCCCAAAAAGTGTATATATTCTTGATCAGCATCAAATTCTAAACCCATTTCGAAATGTCTATCTGTCCGTCTGTCCGTCTGTCCGTCTGTTCGATTATTGTAAACATTATTTTGACCTCAAAAATGAAGCTATAGATAATAAATTTAACAGAAATAGAGGAGGTTCTTGCACGCAGGCTGGTATTGAAAAGGGGCCAAATCGGTTGAAGGACACGCCCGTAGCATCATGTGAACTTTGTGTTTCAAAAAACAATTTTTTTGCTCATTACTCATAAACAATAGCAAATAAATGTACAAAAATTTCAACACATATTCTATCGGTGATGTCGTAGCATTTGTGTACAAATATGAAAAAAAAATCAGCCACGCCTACCCAATATTATAGCGTATCAAATTTTAATTCTTTTTTCAATGCCTTTATAACGCGCAGAAACAAGCTCCAAAAATCCCACAAAGTATAGAAATTCTTGGCCAATTTCAAATTTGGAATGCACCTAAACATGTCCACCTGTTTGTCTGTCCATCCCTCTGTTTGCGCAAGTTTGTAATATTTGTGATAAATCTTCTCCCGTTAGCGAAAATGAAGATAGCGCCTACAAAATTTGCAAACGAATTTGGAATTGACCTAAACGTTTCAAAGGATACGCCGAAAACGCCCACATGTGCATACGAAAAAAACATTTATTTGGAAAGTAGAAGAAATCAGCTGCATCCTATTGCCTTTTTTAGGATAACGGTGACGCGTATAACAGATTCGGGCCCGACCGAATTTAATTTTCTTACTTGTTTTAATATAATATTTAATCAACTACTCGGCGGATAGATAGGGTAGTTGAGTGATTGTGGAAATATTACATTAGATAGAGGGGGACGGAAAGTGTTTATATAATGTTGAGTGGAAAATAATAGGAACTTACATTACCTTTTTCAAAATTAAAGTGAAAGTCTCATACGTACTGATGCTTGGCTTGTGTCCTTGATCAGATGTTAAATTTTGTTCAGCGCTTCTTTCAGGAGGTAAGACTTTCCTTTCTCTTGAAATACTCATAATTTATGCTATGCGTCGAGATAAATCCATTCATATGAAATTTTCATATTTTATGGCGAGTCCTCTTGAACGCTTGAAGGATCTATATAGAGCGAAATTTGATTACATCGTACACCATACTCTGTGATATAATAAGTAATAGACTAAATTTAATAATAACAATAATAGCCATAATAATATTTATATAAATAATGCTACGCTATTAAAATGACTTAATTTTTCGTTATTACTTCATATTAAATATAAAATTGCTTTCACGTATGTGAAAAATTCCTCAAATTTATTGTACAAGCGTTAATAAGCCAGTGGCTGCCTCGGTACGGTTGCGCGTAAAATTTATCTCGATTTCTTTTTAACGTTAAATGAACATAATAATGGTATATTTGTAATATATGCGAAGATGATAATGTTCATCTTTATAGTTAGATACAACATGCTCTCATAGACGGCACATACCAGTGCCTGGCTTAAGCATAAGCTCTTCATTTACACATTCAACACAAACATAGACACAAATAGAAATATAAACACAAACATAAACATATATACACACGCTCGCATATACACACGAATATATACATATATATACATACAGACACAGTTGTATACTTTTAAATATCTAACAACATACCAAATTCTTACTTCTCGCATATAAGTGTCGATTCATTCATTCACAGTCACACTCATCAGCTAATTATGTTTGTAATTGGTTTCAGGTTCTGAGAAGAATTTTTTTTATGGGTTTCTTTGAATATTTTTTTTGTACAATTTTTTTTATTATTATTATTGTTGCTGTTATTATAAGTATATAATAACTTTGCTAAAAGCAAAAATCAACAGACATAAAAAACGTGATAATAATAATTATAATAAGA